AGGTTTGTTTAAGTTCATCCCAGAAGTAGAACTTCTTCTGTGTGTGTGTGTTTTGTTTTAAAGGACAGTTTACCACTCTGTGCATGTCAGTACTTCTGTTCTGAATAAAAGCCCGCTGCATGTGGCCATTTGAATTATTTAATCTGAAAACATTTCAATCCGGTCAAAGAATTTTCCGCATGTAAACATAACTAGTATGTGCAGCAGGTGTTTTGCTGAGCTTAGTTTTTGTTGTGGAGCTGCAGGATCTTAGAGGGAAACCAAATTTAGCAAAACAAGAGATCTGGGACTGTTTTAGAAATGCACCATCTGGCTGTCTTATCTAAAGACAAAGTAGACATGATTGTTCCTTTGTTACTATTCTGAAGTAAGAATTTGAGACCTTGTTTACACATGAATAATTCCTGAAAATTTTTACAATTTGTTTGCGCTGGTTGTGAGAAAATTCTCACAGATCACAGGCAGGAGGTGGAACACCTGGAGAGCTGGTGCAGGAAGAACAACCTTCACATCCATGTGAAGAAGATGAAAGAGATGGTCCTGGACTTCAGAAGGAACAAAGCACCCCCCCCCCCCCCCCCCCCCGCTACAGGTGCTTTGGGTGTGCACATGAACAACAACAACAACCTCAGCTGGGGCAACAACACCACCAGCCTGATCAAGAAAGCTCATTGGAGACTCTACTTCCTCAGGCTGCTGAGACGAGCTGGACTGGGAAGCTCAATCTTTACCATGATTGACCGAAGCAACGCCCTCATTACTGAGGATGAGGCCTCGATCCGTGGATCCATCTCGTGCTCCTTCCTACCATCACTCAGGAACAAGATGCCCAGATACTCAAACTCCTCCACCTAAAGACACCCCCCCTCCCCCGTCGAGCCCAGAGGGGAGGATACAAAAGTCACTAGCTGCTGTGATTTTTGCATTTCAACAACACGTATGTGTGCAGACACTGTTCATGAACTTGAAAACAGTAACGAGAACATTTGTTTGGACTGAGAATGAGGTTGGCTTGCTCCTAATGGGGTTGTGTAAATCCTGGAGAGTGCAGTGGGTCACCCAGTGTGAATGGGACTTGTAGACAAGGTGCTAATAAAAACTCACATCTAGTCACTGATTTCATTCATTTATTTATTTTAAGTTGTTGCTACTTTTTTTTTGTTGGTGTTTTCTGTGTCCGTCTGTGCTTTGAGATATTTTTTTATTCTTTGTTTTGAGAAATTATTGCTCAGAACTAAAGAGCAATAATAGATCCTTCAGGGCAGTTTTTGTTGTTTGTAAAGTGCTATATAAGTATAATGACATTAAGACTGTTTCCGTACCTCTTCTTTCTCCACCCAGCCTTCAACCATTGCTGTAAGGAATCTGGTTTCCTCATGGTAGTTAAGTGTCGAGCGGAGAACTCGGCCATGAAGGACTGTCTGACCCAACAGTGAGTATTTTACTCTTCCTCTGGCAGCATTCAGCACTTTCAGCTTGTGTTACATGCTAGTTTTTAGCGAGGCCTCCCTGTTTGCTGGACGTCTAAACTGCTCCTTGTTAAATTTCAAGTAAAACCACTCGACTGCTATCAGATAATGACATCACGCCTTCTGTCTGCCATCAGCTACCAGGATCCTGTGTTTTTTGAAGAGTGCAAACAGCTTTACATTCAGGAGAAACTAGAATTTGAAAGGACGGGGATCCCGGCGAAGAACAGGAAACAGAAACTCCCAACTAGCATGTAATAATCAACATGCTAACCACATGTGTATAAGGTGCCTACATGCAGACTCGGACTCACCCCGGATGAACTGTGGAATCTGAGAAACAACTGACGTAACTTTGGTGCACACGTGGTTAATAATTAAAATGATCCGATGTTCAGTCTGTGTGTTGAACAGGAATGGGCCATAACTGTTGCATTAAAATATTTTCACCTTTATTAAAAAGGCAAGAATTCATCTGTCCAGTCTTTACCTTTGCAGCACTTTGGATTTCATGTTGTACCATTTAAATTTGAGGGACAACTTAACCCACCTGCTGCCCTGGGTTCAAAATGACCCACGAGGTCTCAGTCGTAAAACTGAGGTCAAATGATGTGAACATTTCTTCACTACTTTCCTGTTCTGTCATGTTTGTTTTTGGCTCTTATGTCGTATGTCCTTTTAATTGGCTACCAATTTTCAGGTCCTTTGTGCCCACGACAGCAGGAGGGTTAATCATGAAAACACCTACAGAGAAACAAGTAATAAAAAGTTTGCTGGTTTTGTCTGGACCCAGGTTTAACAACGTTCAGTCAGGTCATCTGGATGGTTTCTTTTTTTGCTGCGTCCTTCATCTAAAGGACTTCTTCCATCTGAGCAGCCACCAAACAAACTGAGTCCAACAAACAGCTCCCATAGTGGGGGAAAAAAAACAGTTTGCTGGTGATAAAATGGTTTCTGTGGCTGCCCTCTCCCCCGTCAACTCCTCTAAAGCAGCCATTCCAAAATGGTTCAGAACACCAAAGTTCATGCTCTGTACAGGTCCTTCTAAAAAACATTAGCATATTGTGACAAAGGTCATTATTTTCCATAATGTAATGATAAAAATTAAACTTTCATATATTTCAGATTCATTGCACACCAACTGAAATATTTC